GGATTAAAGGCATGCACCACCATGCCTGGCTTAAATCATTTTAGAGTAAATGATTCAGAAGCTAGATGTGGTGGTACATGCCTATAATTCCAGTACTCGGGAAGTTTGAGGCAGAAGGAGTCTGAACTTGAGGCTGCTTGTACTACATAGGGGGACCCTGTCTTAAAAAACCAAAAGAGAGATTTGGTGTGCTTACAGGGGTGTGCAGCTGCACCCTCCCTAATTCCAAAACATTTTCCTCCAAAATGAAACCCTGTAGCAACTGACTAGTTACTCTCCATTGTTCTCTCTCTCACCCTGGAAGCTACCAATCTATTCTCTGTTCCAATTGATCCCCTCCCTCCCTCCTTCTTCCCTCCTTCCTTCCTTTCTTCAGAGCCTTGTGCATTTTCAGCAAGTGCTCTTCCCCTGAGCCACATCCTACCTCTCCAGTGTGTGTGTGTGTGTGTGTGTGTGTGTGTGTGTGTGTGTGTGTGTGTGTGTGTGTGTGTGTTTAAATACATTTAAAACACTGTTTTGTGATTGCCTTTAAAGTCAGCAGCAATGGTTCCGGCCTTCTGCTTGAGCTCCCAGGTAACATCTAGGACTTTATCCCCATGACTATTTGTGACTAATTTTGGAGCTAATTTGAACTCTGCTTCCAGATAATTGCTTAGCTCTTATATCCACTTTGGCCAGGGCAGTACAATAGATAAGCAGTCTGGATTTATTATCCCTTGAAGATGTGTCTTTTTTGTAACCCTTCTTTCCTCTGGCCGGTGATGGAAAGGTAACATTCCTTTTGCAAAACTGTAAGCAATCCTGCTTGTCCTCACTCTAGTTTTAGTAGGGAAATCCCATCCACAGCTATCTAGTGTTTTAGTAGGAAAAGAAGTCATCCATGGTCAATGGGTCCAGAGCCCTGGTTTGGTCTCAGTACTGCTTTTTTTAAAATTTGAGATAAGATTTGTCGGTGTAGCTCAGTCTGGCCTTGAACTTGAAATCTTCCACCCTCAGCCTCCCAAATGCTGGGATTATAAGTATATACCACCCACGCCTAGATTAGAGCCAAGTTTTTTGTTTATTTTTTATTACTGTTGTTGAGATGGGGTCTTTTGTAGCCCAGGCCGACCTCAAGCTTGCTAAGTAGCTGTGGTGGTTTGAATAAGAATGGCCCCATAGGCTCAAGATTTGAATCCTTGGTCACCAGGGAGTGGCACTATTAGAAAGGATTAGGAGGTGTGGCCTTATTGGAAGAAGTTTATCACTGAGGGTGTGCTTTGAGGTTTCAAAAGCCCATGCCAAGCCCAAAGTCTCTCTTAGTCTTTGGATCAGGATGTAGCTCTTAGCTACTTCTCCAGCAACATGTCTACCTGTATCGCCATGCTTCCCACCATGAGTTGATAATGGACTAAACCTCTGAAACTGTAAGCCAGCCTTTAATTAAAGGCTTTCTTTTTTAAGAGTTGCCTTGGTCATAGTGTCTTTTCACAGCAATAGAACATCAACTAAGACAGTCCCTCTTGATCCTCCCACATCTACATCTGCTGGAACTGCAGGAATGTGCCACCACACTGGACCCAGTACCCGTTTTGAGCTTGCACTGCCTTACAGCCCTGCAGGAAGGCAAAAGCTGAGGAAGCCTGCACACAGAGCAGCTTGCCCATGGGACTTGGTACTGCCAAGGTTTCTGGGCAGGGGAAGCGTCTGTGAAACTTGCAGAGAAAAAGAAGCTTTAAAAAGATTTCTGCTCCCTTTGGCAGAACTGCCACTGCCTCGTAAGCTCTGGAGTTGTAGGCTTGTGCCACCGTGCTCACTGGGAAGAGAAGCCAGCCTTGCAGAGTGGGATAGGAAGACCTAAATCTTAGCTCAACCACTTACTGTGTGACATCCTACAAGGATCCAGGCTGAAATCTGCCATTGTGAAGCTCTGCTACCTGGCTCATAAAATGGGTGTACAAACACAACCCCTAAAGTATGTGTGTGAGATTTAATGAGATGATTCTGTTTATTGTCTAGTATGGTGTTTGACATTTATGACACTAAGTAGGCATTAACAGATAAATGTCTTAAGATGCAGAGAGGGTTGGAAGAATTGGCTCAGTGGGTAAAGCGTTTGCTACTCAAATATGAGGACCCAAGCACCCATGTAAGAAAAGCCAGGTTTGGTGGCATATATCTGTAACCCCAGTGCGGGGAGGCAGAGACAGCAAGATTGTGGCAGCTTGCTGACCAGCTAATGTAGATGAATCAGTGATCTCCAGGTTTAGTGAGAGATCCTTTTTTTCCAAAAAATAAGGTGGGAGGAATAGGGGAAGACATCTGGCATGGACCTCTGGCCTCCATACATGCATACATGGGCATACACACATACCACATAAATCTTTCTGTTTGTTTTTTGAGACAGGGTTTAATGATGTAACAGCTCTGACTGTCCTGGAACTCTCTTTGTAGACCAGCCTGGCCTCGAACTCAGAGATCCACCTTCCTCTGCCTCCTGAGTGCTGGGATTAAAGATGTATGCCACCATGCTGGGTGGTGGTGGTGCACGCCTTTAATCCCAGCACTAGGGAGGAAGAGGCAGGCGGATCTCTGTGAGTTTGAGGCCAACCTGGGCTACAGAGTGAGTTCCAGGACAGGCTCCAAAGCTACACAGAGAAACCCTGTCTCAAAACACCAAAAAAAAAAAAAAAAAAAAAAAAAAAAAAAAGATGTGCGCCACCAATGCCTGGCTTTTTTTTTTTCTTTTAATATAGGGATTCTGGGATCAGACTCTGGTCCTCATGCTTGAAAGGCAACTACTTCAGCCAGCCAAGCTATCTCCCCAGCCTTCTTTTCTTGTTTTTGAGACAGGGTATCAGGATGTAGCCTAGGCTGACCTCAAATACACACTTCTCCTACCTCAGCCTCCTGAGTGCTGGGATTCCAGGCATTCACCATTATGCTCACCTTGCAGAATGTAGGCACTGTCTGTCCTTCACTCTGGGCCCAGGTGATTAGTGGCAACTCATCAACAACAATATAAAAAAGTAGTCAGGGCCAGGAAACCTGTGAGTAAATGATGCTTTCCTCAGGGAACCAATAGAAACCAGAGAACACAAACCATGTTGGTAGGATTAATGACTTTTAATTTCTTATATTAACTAATGTCTTACAGTAAGTGGGGGGGAGGTCAACAGGGATGGGTCAGAGAAAGGAGGGTGTCTTTTCAGGTCCTTGAACTACTGGAGCACGTGCGAGAATGGGAGCTCAGTGGAAGCATCATGTCTTTATCAGCACAGCTTGCAATGAGGTGGGTGGGGACAGAGCAGACAGTTTTGTAGCTCCGGTGGAGGTGAGCAGAGACAGGGCAAATCCTGCATCCAATTTGGCACACGAGGCAGACAGGACACGTGGATGCCACAGTTGGGTGCACGAGGAGCTGACTTTCCAGCCTGCCTCCTTGGATGGGGGAGGAGTGTGCACACCCCTCCTGAACTCTGAATGTTTCTGCCTCTCCTCGGGGGAGTGACACCCACTGCAGCAATGTGACACTGTTGGGGAAAGGCTCTGAGAGAAGAGATTTTTTTTTTTTTTTTAATATTTGCTGGTGGTGTTGATTGACCAGAAGTGTTTATTTTTTTTTTTCACTTTTGGGCAGTAGCATTGTGTCTGGTGATAAAATATCCTATACGTAGCACTCTTAAAAAGCAAGGCCTCTTGAAAACCTAGATAATGGGAAGGGGACTACAGATTCTAGGGCAAGGGTATGAAAAAGCTAATTCTATACCACTACACAGAAACCAACACAGAGGAGACCTTGGTCTTTCCAATCACTTCCTGTATTTACGCTACTAAGTCTAAGGTTGGCTTAACCACAGCGTAGGATAACTATCACTGTGCTTCTAAAGTTAAAGTGAAAAGCTACATCATTTAAGGTAGTTTTTTTTTCCTTCTAATTAAGTGGATTTGGACAAGCTGAAAGCCTAAAATCTAGAGATCTTTTTTATTTTTTAGGAAAATCCTTAAAACGAATCACTGCCATTATTATCTTTTTCTTTTTTAAGCTACAGGTGAGAAAGGGCATAAAGGGCAGGGGTAAGTCATTACACAAATCACGGAATGGTCAACATGCATCTAACCTTTCCCACCGAGCAGAGATGTTAAAGGGAGTGTTCTGTTCGGGAGGAAATACTACACTAGCCTGTCTTCCCTCCTCCTGGGCGGGAGAAAAGGAATATGGATTCGAGAGGAGAGGAAGAAATGTGCCCGTGAGAGAAACACCTATCCTTTGTGACTGAGCTCTATCAGAGTGGAATGGGGTAATGGTGTCTGGACCACTGGTCTGTCCTCGGCAGTGACTTTATGTTTTTAGGCATCTACAGGAAGAATCTCTAGCTGGGTACCGGCGGGGTGTAATAGTGGATAAACATAGGTGTTAACTGCAGCTCACAGCGAGTGATGACCAGAATTAGCACCTTCCTCTGCACCTGGGTCACCTGTCACTATGAAGCCCAAGCCGTGGGGGAGAAAGCTGTGTTCTTGGAGAACTCCTCTTACTGCTCCAGGAATGGAGAAAGTAAGGATTCAGTGTTAAATATGACATTGCAGCCTTAAAGACATTCTATAGCGGTGATAGGTGGTGTGGTTCGGAAGTAAGCGGTAGAGTAAGTCAAATGCGTTCCCTCTTAGGCATTAATTTCTTTTTTAAGCAATGGGATTACATTTTTTGGCTCGAAATGGTGCTTTCTTCTATATTTGACTTCTCGGTTTTCTTTGTAGATATTACCGTTTCCTCCAATGTTTCTTCAAAACTTTCCGATATCTTGGATGTCTTCTTAGAGGCGTCTTTAGAAGCCCCTTCTTCCTCCTCTTCCTCCTCCTTTTTAAGTGACAGCCCAGTGGATGAGGCTTTGGGGGTTGCAGAACTAAGGATTCTGGGAGGGAGCAGGTAACTGGGATTGGGAAGTGGATTCAGGCCTGAAATGCTCAACGCACTGGTGCTGAACCGCGTCTCCTCACCTTCCAGCAGCTTCCTGTAAATTCAGCAGAGAGAAGCCCTCAGGAGTCAGGCTACGGATTTGTTTAAAGAACCTAACCCTCCAGTTGTTTTTCATTTTAGAGACTCCAGAGAACACTGCAGTTTCTCCATGAGCCTGAGGCCAGTAATACTGCATGGAGCTTGAGATTAGCATGCATATGTATGGATTGTCTCTCTCTCTGCCCCCTCCAATATCAATGTTGTTTAAAGTATTGTCAAAGGAAATCTATCCCATTCACAAGCTACATTAGACACCTATTTTTGGCAATTAGAGTCCACAAAGCTCTGGAGAGAAGTAATTTCCCTAATTAACACCTTAACTGTAAAGGGGAAAGGAAGTGAGAAGTCCACAGAGGAGCAGGAAACTAACTGCCTAGTCCAGCCCACACTTGCAATCTGTGCCCTTTCCATGTGTGAAGGAAGGTCTGAAGGGAGTGAAAGAAGCATCACTTAGACACAACTTCAGGCACCAGTCTCCACTCAGCCTAGACTAGACAGTACAGATCAGATGGCTCTCTTATCTTGTTTTTCATAACTCTAGTAGGGTTTTGCTGTTGCTTCTTTATTTGTTCTTTTGTTTTTGGAGATAGGACCCCATATAGCCCTGGTTGGCCTTGGTATGTAGCTGAGGCTGGCCTTTAACTCCTTACTGTCTTACCTTCACCTGGGATTACAGGTGTGTACCACTACGTCTGGCTTTTAATTCTAATAGTTTTTAATTATTCTTTTTCTAAAAATCAAATCAAGATACTATTAAATACTGTGGGGGCGGGCCTTATCTTGATGTAGGTGCTATACATAGTGGAAAGGTGAAAAAAAAAATGTGTTGGCTTCAGTAGCACATATACTAAAATTGGAATGATATAGAGAATGCTACCATGGCCCTGGCACAAAGATAGCATACAAATTCATGAAGTGTTCCATATAAAAAAATGTCCACACTGCTGGGTGGTGGTTGTGCATGCCTTTAATCCCAGCATTTAGGAGGCAGAGACAGGTGGATCTCTGTGAGTTCCAGGCCAGCCTGGTCTACAGAGCGAGTTCCAGGACAGCCAGAGAAACCTTGTCTTGAAAAACAAAACAAAGAAACAGAAAAGTCCACATTGATCTGAGGTTGAATCTGAGGGTTACCATTTCTTCATGACTTTGAGTAAGTTATAGTATATCAAAAAGCTGTACCTGTAGTTACCTTTTATAATAAAAAGGTAAATGTTCGGGGCTGGAGAGATGGCTCAGAGGTTAAGAGCACTGACTGCTCTTCCAGAGGTCCTGAGTTCAATTCCCAGCAACCACATGGTGGCTCACAACCATCTGTAATGAGATCTGGTGCCCTCTTCTGACCTGCAGTCATACATGCTGTACACATAATAAATAAATAAATCTTAAAAAAAAAAAAAAAAAAAAAAAAAAAAAAAAAAAAAAAAAGGTAAATGTTCACTTCAGCTGTGCCTTGAACAGATATCTAAGAGAAAACCTCGGCTTGGATCATTTTCAGCTTGGATCACTTTCTGCTTAATTCACTTTTTTTGTTTGTTTGTTTTGGTTTTGGTTTTGGTTTGTTTTTTCGAGACAGAGTTTCTCTGTGTAGCTCTGGCTGTCCTAGAACTTGCTCTGTAAGCCAGGCTGGCCTTGAACTCACAGAGATCCACTTCCCTCTGCCTCTAGAATGCTGGGATTAAAGGCATGCACCACCATCGCCTGGCTATATTTTTATTTTTTAAAGATTCATTTTTATTACTTTTAATTGTGTGTAGTGGTGTGTGTGTTTAAGCAAATGCAAATGCCTGGGGGAGGCCAGAGGCATCGGATTCCCCTGGAGCAAGTTATAGGCAGTTGTGAGCCACCTGATGTGGGTGCTGAGAATCAAACCCCGGTCCTCTGTAATAGCAGTTTGTGCTCTTAACCACTAAGCCATCTTTCAAGCCCCAACCCCTATTTTCATTGTTTTGTTTTTGAAGACAGAGTTTCTTTGTGTAACAGACTTGGCTGTCCTGGAACTCACTCTGTAGACCAGGCTGGCCTCAAACTCACAGAGATCAGTCTGCCTCTGCCTCCCTAGTGCTGGGATTAAAGGTGTGCACCACCATGACAGATTCTAACTCCTGTTTTAAACTTATAGTCTGACAGATGTTCATTTTGACCTCTAGAAGCCTGTGTTACCTTTTAAGAGCCCAGCAGAGGTATGTAGAATACTCTGGGACTAGTAAGGTGAAGCTAGGATATATTCAAGTAGAGGGACTGAAGGGTCTGCTTATCTGGACTGGATAGTGATGCTCTCCATCCTCCCTCCCTGGTCAGAAACAGACCACATGGAACCACTTCCGTAGTAACACTGCCCCTGACATGTGCTTTGCTAGGGTAAACATGCCCCTTTGTGTACCTGTAAGCTGCTATCTCAATGTCAAGGGCCATCTTGACATTGAGCAAGTCCTGGTATTCCCGAAGGTGGCGAGCCATTTCACTCTTGGTGTTCCTTAGGTCATTTTCCAGCTGCCCAATGCTGTCCTGGAAAGTACATATCCAAAGTATTTAGACCAAAGTAGCAAACATTCATTGACATTTCCACAAGGCAGGATCGCAACCCTGACTACACATTAAAATCATGTAAGGAACTGATAGAATACCTGCACAGCAATCTGTGTCCAGCCTAGGTTCTGTTTCATTTGCTCTGGGGTAGGGAGGGACTCAGTATTTGCATTTTCCCCCTTAAAGACCCTTGGGAAATTTAAATGCATACTGAAGGTTGGGAACTTCTACCAAGGGACACATGGTTTCACAGATCCTTCCTTGATTGTGTATGTATATGTATGTATGTTTATATGTCTGTAGATGTGACTATAGGTACCCACAGAGGTAAGAGATGTTCTGGAGCTATAGTTACAAGCAGTTGTGAGCCACCTGATAGGTGCTAGGAACTGAAGGTCCTCCAAATGAGCAGCACACACTCTTCAACCACTGACCCATCTCTTCAGCCCCATATATATAATAAAAATTTAATGTTGGATAGATGGTTGCATATTCCGCAAAGCACCAGCTTTTTAAAAAAAATGACAATTTTGAATTTTTGTACATTGATTGATTGATTGATTGATTGATTGACTTGTTTATGTGTGTGGGCATGTATGTGTCACCAGGGATATGTGGAACCAGAGGACAACTTGTAGGGGTTGGTTCTGTCTTCCTGCCAGGTAGGTCTTAGGGATAAATTTAGAGTCTAGGTATCAACCCAGGCTGTCAGTCTTGGTGCCAAGTGCCTTTACCTGCTGAGCTATCTTTCAAACATCCTTCAAAATGATAATTTATATAAAACCATTTTAAAGTGGCAAATACCACTTATTATTAGGACATGAAACTAACACAGTCTTTCTTAGCAATCAAGGTTGTAAAAATGATGTTATTTTTCTATGATTTCATGTCTGTTATCTTTTAGATATATTTGGGGTGTTTATTTCTACCCTAATGGTTCCAAAGAGCAGTGTTTGTCTTGATGTTGCAGTTTATTGCTTTTCTTTGTCCTCAAAAGTGTTCTGATGGGTGCTAGGCACCCTTGACAGTGCCTGACTCTAGTGGTCTCCCATCTTTATCCTTCCTCAGACTTGACACCCAAATGAGGAATCGTCTCTTTTGAGAACCACGTGAAGGATGGTTAGGCTGAGCATCAGTGGGGCCAACTTCCCAACGCGTGATTTAGAGGTAGATGTTCGCCTCATCAGCAGGTTAATTCGATCGTTTATTAAAAACTGCTTTTATTTCCCAGCTGCTTTTGGAACAAGAGGTTGCTGGGGAGCCGAGTTCTAGATAGGTGAGGGTTTCTTGCATGTTATACACCTCACATGGCAACTTTATGGATCAGAGTGGACAGAAAGTGGAACCCAGCTCCTTCCAGAACGAGCTGACTGAAGTGCTGGCTGCTGGTGGCTCCCCAAGCCCCAGTCTCTTTGTTTGTGCACTCCTCCCGCACTGGACTGCCTGGCTGCCCTTCACAAGGCCTCCAAAGATGGCCTCCAGCGGGAAATGTGAGCAGAACGCTGCAGTCCGTCCCCTCCCCCAACCATGCAGCTGCTGCTGGCTTAGCTTGGAGAACAGGAGAGAGGAGGCACTCCCTGCTCCAGCTGGGATCTCTCCTGGAGCAGCTAAGCATCTGGCCCAGGGGTGGAAGGAGGCAGGTTGGGAATAAGACAAAGCATGGTCACACTAGCATCTCAGTGAAGAAAAGGAAAACCGTGTGCCCATTTCCTTACTTTGGGGTGGAAAGGGGAGACCTCAGCCAGGCAAGCCGGAGTGCAGGCCATACAGAACTAGTGCTGTGCATAATCAGTTAGATGGGGGAGGTTTTAATGTGTGGCCACCCACAGGAACCCACGTCCTTATTCCACCCGTCTTTGCTTTACCCTTGTCTTCCATCACCCTCTGCCACCATATCTTATGAGAAAATGTGGGTTAGGTCAATACACTCCACAGTCAGTCTGAGAACACACAACAAGCGATGTAACACTTTCATTGAAAATGCACATTCCTAGCAGGGTGTGGTGGGGTATGCCTACCGGGAAGACTTTAAATTCAGTCCCAGTTTAGGCTACGTAGGGAAACCCCATGTTACAAAATGGAATAAAAAGCATGTTCCTGGCTCTACCTAAGAAATACAAAATCCATTTCTTCAGGAGTGGTCAGAGAATCTCTCTTTTAAAAAGCTGCTCTGTGGTCTGGGTGTGCCATGGAGTTTAGATCACTGATTTAAATCTATCCCTGTTAAGAAGCTATTGTGGTGGCCAAGGTGACAGCATAGGGTGAGATGTGTGTGTGTGTGTGGGGGGGAGCAGGGGGAGGGAGACCAGATGGAAGAGCTTTGAAAAAATGAGATTTCCCCTCCCGCCTTGAATCCTAATTTCAGAAATGGATCTATCAAGCTATAGATTTATACGTAGCCACTGCTGCCTCTGGTCTCCCGAGGGCCAAATCCAGCCTGCTATTTAATTAGGCTGGGCTCCAATCTCACATTGGAGAAGAGGGTAGCCTTGGCACACCTCCCTGGAGGGCATTAACCAGCAGTGATCTTGACTGCCCACCAAGGTCTTTCAAGGGAAGCTTTGGCTTTCTAAGACACTCCACAGCACAGGTCTGAAATTCAGCTCCCTCTGAGAGGGCCTCGGCCTGAGATTCTAACAGTAGTGCCCCCTCTATGTGGAGGCCAGAAAGTCCTCTGTCAGAACTGAAAGGAATGCCTTGTTCCTCTAGGCGAAGCATGGCTGCCTCTGGCCTGCACGGCAGCAGCCCTGTTCTGTGTGCTCACTGTGTCACCCTGAGTCACACTTTGTCCTTTTGAAAGTATATCAAGCGTTCTGTCTTCAAATAGGCTATCAGCTCTCTGGGGCCGGGAAAAGGAAAAGGAAAAGGACATTAATCGGTGTTTTCTCTTGTCTTTGAGAGGGCTGAAAGCTTGTATAGGGAAAATGTGCTCACTATGAGTCTCTGCACCAGAAGGGAAAGAACGCCTCCCACTACTACTGCAGTGAAAGGGGAGGGTGGGTAAGAGGCTAGAAGACAATGGTTTCACAGTGAGGAGGCTTTCCACCTCCACCAGGGAAACAAGCAGGGGCGGCAGGCCCAAGCGTCTGCAGGCCATGCCGTGAGCCCCACCCCAGCATTGGCTCCCACGGGGTAGGAAATAGCTTTCTGTCATCTGGCCTCCTCCTCCACTCCCTCCGCAGGTCCACTGAGGCTAACGCTGATGGAGACAGCACTCAGAGCCTGCAGGTTCTCTTACCTTTTGTTTCCTCGTCCATGTCTGGAGACCCTACTGTTTTCTAGCACAGGAAGCCTGTATTTAGAGCTAACAAGGCAGACAACATCATCACCACCTCCTAGAACCAGCAAAAAGAGGGCAGAGCAAAGCCCAGGCCAGCCGGCAGTTTGGGGGTGAGTTACCCTTTGTGTAGAAATATTGGGCTAGTCCTCAAGAAGACTACCTAATTCAACATTTGAGGCTTCTGGAAGAGAAGAAATCTTAATTAAGTGTGATTGATTCAGATCATCCAGGGCCTTGGACATACTGAAAAGCTCAACTTATAGATTTTGTAGCAAAAAAAGAATATTTATTTGAATAATAATGTAATATCAGACTAACCAAACATATTTCAAACAGGCCTTTTCCCTTTATGAAAGGAAGTCATTCACAATGGACAGTAAATACCTACCTGCATATCAATAAATTCTTTAGCTTCTGACTAAAATGGTACTTTTGAAATATTATGCCATTTCCTGGTTCTATTTTTAGTAATGTCCCCCCAACACATTAATTTATCAAATGTAAAATTCAATCCAGCTAAAATAATTTGAAATTTCTGGATTATAGACATTCTACTCAAAGGAGCTTTTATTGTTCCTTGTACTTAAACCATGTAATTTGTATTTTTTCTATATCTTCATTCGCCCTGATTTCTTTCTCTGTGCCCTTTGTGGTCACAAGCCCCAAATGTCCAGTGTGGGGAAACTGAGGACACAGTGGCCTTTGTTGGGAAGGAAGAGCCAATGGTTACCTTCATAGAGCTTATAGAGCAGGGAAAGATGAAAAAAAAAAAGTCGCCTATAACAAAGAAACCATCTCTGTAATTTGCCACATGCACTTAAGCTGAAGAAATATTAAGGTAATGGGACCTTTCAAGTGAGACCACACAGCTGCGGAGCAGATTAAATGGTTTTTGTTAAGTGCTAAGCCATCCATGGAGGCAAAAATTGATGCTGTCGACAAGATGAACTTTGACTTTAGGAAGCCAAGACTGATTGTATTATAGAACTAACTAACTAAATAAATAAATAAAATCGAAGCAGTTAATTGCCTCGAGGCCCAGAGATTCCTAACTGGGACAGTTTGGAAACAATGAAGCAGGAGACATTTCTGAGGCGGGAGGAACTCGCGATCAGCACCGCGGACAGCGCCCAGACAGTCTCAACGCGGAACTGTCAGAACTGTCAATAGATGGACCAGGAAACCGCGCGC